GACTTTGCAGTAAAAATACGATAGCAGCCTTGAGAGCGAGAGCAATGCCACTTGTTTGGGACATCATGATTCAGGAAAGATCAAATAAGACTAGAGGAATGCTTCGGAACCCACAGCTAACAAGTGAAATTTTTTTTTCTAGATAAAACAGCACTCGGAAACTGCGCCAAATACCAATTAAGTAGTAATTCAGTTCCTGTACTTGCAAACTTGCAATGTTGTGGCGTATCAGCTCCTTTACTTTAAAGAATGGCAAATCAGCTCCTCTACTTCACGATATCCATAAAACAGTCCTTTTAATGAGAATGACGTCATGTAACCGTTAACTCCTTCCATTGCCCGTTAAAGTCCAAAGGAGTGGCACTGATTTGGTGCACTGACTGCTTTATATAAGAGAAGGCCTCTTTTGGGCTCGAGATAATTAAAATATTATATTTTTTTTAAATATTAAAAACTCATAAAATATTAAAAAAATTTTAATTTGTATTTTTAGAATATAAGTATAATTAATATATTTTTTAGATTAATTAATATAAAAATAATAAAAATTAATATTAATTTTATTATTAATATCATATAAATTATTTTAATTAAATAATTAAGAAATTTTTTAACCTGCAAATCTCACTAATTATATTATTTATAATTAAATTTGTATAAAATTTCATACAAATTCAAATAAAATAAAATATAAAATGTAAAAATAAAATAAAATATATATATTCAAAATATGAAATTTATATAAAATTAATTAAAAATATTTTAATTAATGAGTCTTAACTTGTATCTTTTAAACACAAATTAGATAAATTTAATAATTAATTAAATAAAAATTAGTTTTTATTTTTTGTAATAATTAATATAAAAATATTAACATGTAAGCTCAAATTTAAAAGAACCCTAATATTAAAAACAATTCATTTTGGCATTTGACAACCACAATTCACCAATAAACTAATTAGATTAGCTATACTACTTTTTTAAATTTTATTATAGAGCAACGAGTGTATGCAATTGGACATTTTTTTATTTGACTAGGTAATAGATAGCAAAAATTTTAAATGACACATCTTGTAATTGTCGGCTTTGATTGGTACCCATCTCTTCACTTCACAATTAATTTAGCAAAACAAATTATTTATACGTAAATTTTATATAAGATATTTATATAAAAATTTTTATTTTTTATTTTTTATTTTTGATAATTAAAATTTATCACAAAATTTTAATAAAAATTAATTATTTTTAATAAATATAAATAAATATAAATAAATTTTAATAATTAAAAATAATAAATAATTAAAATTTTATATAATTATATTATATAAAATTTATATATAAATAAATCTCTACTCATTTTAATAATGAATTTTCAATCTCATTAATTTTTAAAAGATAAAATAAAAAAATGACTATTATTTTCAAATAAAGAGAAAAAACCTTTTTTAATAATTTATACATATTATTAAAGACTTATTTAGTTACCCATGTCCTAAAAGCAATAGGTGAAGAAATGCTTAAAATCATTATAATCACTTATATTTATATAAGAATCTTTCATAATTTTTATTAAGAAATACTTTTCTAACAATATAATAATTTACGTTGATTTGGAATCAATCATTTTCTAAAATAATCACTCTTATTTCTTTTATAACTAAGTACCTTTTCCTTTAACTTTTGTAATTGAAAGTTTATTTTTCAAGTTTAAGCCTACTACAAAGAAATGTAGACTTCTCCAAATATTACAATTAACCCAGATGAAGCGAATTAGTCCACATTAGTGCCCAATCAGTAAACCTCATCAGGCTTTAATGGACAATTGAAAGGCTTAACGGCTGAATGAAGTCATTCTCCCTAAAAGTGCTGTTTTGCGGATATAGTGAAGTAGAGGGGCTGATTTATGTTTAAAGTACATGGGTTGATCTGCCACAACATTACAAGTACAGGGATTGAATTGCACCTTTTGCCAAGTAGCACCACCAAACATGTATACGTACTATTGGCAAAACCCACAGTGAAACCCTCAAACTAATCCCATATTAGCGTGTAAGTTCTTAAACTAAAAAATGTGCATCTAAACCCTTAGATCCCTTGATGGATGCAAATCACCTCCTACCGCTAACGACGTTTGATGTGTCAATTGAAAGCATTGGTTGCCGTTTATATGTTTTAAAACAAATGATTAATTATAATTTAGATTTTAAATTTGTTAAATTTTAAATAAAAATGATCCCTTTAAATCTTAAGAAA